TTTCTCATTCTTTACTCTTTGCTTCTCTCATCTTTTGATGCATCCTTCTCGACCACGGAGAATCGTCAGTATTCCAAAATGTGAGAGAGAAGATATATAACAAAGTACTTTTTCGATGTTTGGTGCTTTTTTTTCTTTTCTTTTTTTGTTTGTTGAGTATGAAATAGAAGAGTCGAAAGACCGAAGAAAAAGAACAAGGAGAGTTAACAATATGTTAAATTTACTTATCTACATTTGTGATTCTATCTACAAACTGCTTGATAAATCTTTTTCATACGATACACAACGAAAAGCATGCATCTCGCTAGCGAAGTATATTAAGAAAGCAGAATGATATTAAAAAAGAAAGAAAGAAAGAAAGAAAGAATGAAAAAGATACCCTCTGCCGTCTTACTGCGACAATAAAATAATAAACTGGTTGATCATTCATTTTGTTATTGTAGCATAAAGAAGCACGACAAAAATGTCTTTTCTCACTGGTTTTCTCGTAGCTATGCTATTCATCATAATCGTTGCGTATCTATGGCACATTCGAAAGGCTTACGATTTCTTCGTACGACTCAACATTCCAGGACCACCACCAAAGCTCTTCTTTGGCAACTTTTTAGAAATAAATAGAACAAGAGGATTATCAATTGCCATCAAGCAATGGACTGATAAATATGGCCACATCTTTGGTTATTTCGAAGGACATACACCCATTCTTGTCTTATCTGATCCAGACATTCTTCAAGATGTTTTTATTAAATCTTTTTCCAGCTTTCATTCTCGCCGTGACCCTCCTTTTGTGAATCGAACAGGAAAGGAAGTTAGTCTGTTCGTTGCTCTCGGTCTTCGATGGAAACGACAACGATTTGTTCTCAATCCAACATTTTCCTCAGTAAAACTTAAACAAATGTCACCGTTGATTCATCGCAGTATCAATATGTTGATGACTAAAATGGCCGAGCAGTGTGATAGAAATGAACCATTTGACATCTATGCATATTTTAAACGATTCACAATGGACACCATTTGGTCATGTGGTTTTGGTCTTGATACTGACATGCAAAATAATGTTAATGATCCATATCTTCTCCATTCACAACGATTTTTTTCGCAGGATAAGATTCGTCGATCTATATTCATTTTGAATCGTTTGATAGTAGAATTGAGAAAAGTGTGGTTAAGCATATTTCAATTACTTGGCATTATCCGCTATTGGCTTCGACGATATATTCCCGTGACAAAATGGCTCATTAATGAAAATCCCGCTACATGGATTATGAAACAAGCCAATGAAATGATCGAAAAACGTAAACAAATTGGTCATACTCATCGAACAGATTTATTACAGTTGATGCTCGATTCCATATCTGATGAAGATTTCATTCACGTAAGACTTGCTCTAAGACTACTTTCAAAATTGTCATCATGAGTAGTTTCATGCCATTCGTGCTTTTGTATTTGTAGGATCATCAATCGCCATCCGAAAAAAGTGATGATACTGAAGTCGAAGCACCTCTGGTTCGAAAAATTACTAAACATGAGATCTCTGCCAATATTCTCCTTTTTAGTGAGTAAACCCCAACTTCTCGCGTACTAGCTGTCATAAAATTTCGGTTTTTGCGTTGCAGTGATTGCTGGTTACGAAACGACAAGTACAGCTCTTGGTTATGCGACATACATTCTCGCTACTCATCCAGAAGAACAGCAGAAATTGCAAGAGCATATCGACGCTCATTTCGATCCAGAAACAGAAGACATCATGCCAACATATGAAACTCTCTTTGAAATGGACTATTTGGATATGTTCATTCGAGAGACACTTCGCATGTTTCCCATTGCGCCTTCAGTTATCACTCGTCTGAGCACTGAAAGTTTTCCCATAAGAGACATTGGAGTCTTGCCAGCAGGTACATTGATTACTATCGACATGTACAATCTGCATTACAATCCGGATTTATGGGGTCCCTTAGATCCACATGAGTTTCATCCTGAAAGATTTGCCACGAAACGACATCCAATGGCATGGATTCCATTTGGAGCTGGACCACGTAATTGTATCGGCATGCGTTTTTCTCTGCTAGAAATGAAAATGTTACTTGTTCGACTATTGAAAAAGTACACACTGATCGATTGTGGTGAGAAAACCCAGAAACCATTTCAAGAACTCGAAGAAACAGTTGTCATCGCTCCCAAAGAAGTCTTTGTTCGACTTCAACTCAGAGATAAACAGCATAAGTGACAAATTCTTTTGCAGTATACAATATGTAAAATAATTATTTGGACACCATATGATACTTATCCTGTCAACTATATTCCCCAAAGAAGACAAAACATTTTCTCGATTCTAATTATACCATTCGATAGAGCAATGTCTCTAGTTTATTTTACGCCAAAAATAATTTTGTTTCAAGCTTGTTTTCCTAAATTTTTTCAAAGGTTTTCAATAAACTGCTGGATTTTCTATGCAAAGGGTGTGAGTGTGGTTGTGACTGTGACTGGGAGTGTAGGTGTGAATGTGGACTGTCTCCTCAAATCCGTAGTCCAGATCCACACCCTTTGTCCTAACAATTCGACCAAATATATGGTAAGGGGTATATGAGTCATAGTATGTGGAACAACTTATAGGATGGGTGTGGGT